ATTATAAGGAAAATATTCTTATCAGATATTTTCGAAATGAATTCCTGGCTTTTCTCAGTGTGCATTGCCGTATTTCCTTTTAACACGTACTTGTTACAATAAAATACAAATATAAAATTGATTCATTGCCTCAACATTGATTTTTATGACGTTTTTCTGTGATTATTCTGCGTAATTTCCGACCTGCCGTCGAAGGTTCTTCAAGTTTAAGCACTCCGAATGATATTGAACTCAGTCTTGATCCCAGGCGCAGTGCTTGAGTGGCAGCCTCCAGGCGGAACCCCACGAGGGGCAAGAAGTCGTCCACATGTTCCGCTTGGGACTGTCTCTGGCCTAATGTCTCTGGCACTTAGTTCTAATTTCTCCTAAGCATATGGCAATTATAACTGATTTATCTGGATTTTCATCTAATTGCAAGTTTAATTTCGCCTCATTATTTATGAATGGCCAGGCGGAGCCACTCCACTGGAGGTGATTGTTTTTCCACCGTCAGAACAAACTCATTCCCAAGCTCATTTCAGCTGCAACTTCCGCTCGAACGGAAGTTCCGCCAGTTGCCAAACGCAGTCGGGACTGGGGCTGGGGCCGGGGTCCGAGGTCCGAGCCAGGAGCGGATGCAATTGGCTTCCTGCGCGGCTCTTGGGAGCTTCTCATTTGGCCCAATCAGCCTCGGGACGGGACGCTACTCCAGAGTTGACAATTTCCAATGCCCTTATCAAGGGGTATCATGAATTGGGATAGAAGTTTGTGGCACAGGTAAGAGGAAGTGAGAGATCAGAACCTGGGAATCCTCTCCTTGCTTTCCAGCAAAAGAGTATCTCTTGGCTGCGTTAAGGGCAACCGTTCTTTACCAGTTTCCAGATAGGAAATGCATAATTTTGTTGCAAAAATTCATTTTGAAAAGTGTTCGTTCGTTCATTAATCAAAGCTGCATTTTTGCATTGAATTCTATGGGTGTGCCGGCAGGGACGGGAAAGACTTCCCTGAGTGTATTCCCATACCCTTTTAGCCTGCCTGCCGGAGGCCAGTCAATCCCTTTCTTCCTTTTTTGCTGTATCTTCAAGATGCACAAAAATGCATTCTTTGTGCGCTGCAAGGGCAATGCTGCGCTCGTGTGTGTGTGTGTGTGTGTGCTCGTATCTGTGTGAGTGTTTGCACCCCTTTGGGCTGTTTGCATTGCGTCAGCCCGTTGCATTTTAATTTTAGAATATATTTTTGGGTCTGGATTGCAGCTCGACTCGACTCGACTCGACTCGGCTTTCAATGCTCATGCATGCCATGCGTTTCATTATACGAGTACGTACCGTACCGTACCCCATCTGTGTGTGTGTGTATTGCCTGCTGCATTTTTCATTATGCAAAAATTGCATACCACTTTTTTTTCTCTCCATTTTGGGGAACTTTTTTCCGATTTTTGTGTGCGTTTTTTTTTTCGAAATGCATTCAACACAAATTGCACGTTTGGGTTCGTGCATCTTTTGTGTGTGTGAAGGGAATGGTGGGGTGAGGGGGGGTTACAGAATGCAATTGCAATATAGGGTGGATTTTTTGTACCTCTGTTTCCCCCCCTCCCCCCGCTCCCGTCTCTGTCTCGCTCTCCATTTGTGCCCCTTTTCATCGTTTTTTCGGGGGTTTTTGTCGCATTTGCTTACGTGGTTTTAATTTTAATTGCTTGTCGTCATCGTCATTCCCGTTTCGGGTTTATACCCTTTTAAATGGTACTACGATTATGACTAGATGGTTGTATATTCCTTTTTCTTGCTTCCTCCTGGAGGGCCTCCGAAAGTGTATCAAAAGGCAGCCTTTCGATGTGAAGAAAATAAAACATTTGGTAGCCGTGTGCATGTTGTCGCCGATTTTATCTTTTGTAAATACAGCAATTATACGTGTTCCTGGGATGGTGACATTATGTTTTGAAGTCCTGTTCCTGCTCTGGCTCTGCTTTTTTTTTTTCGGGACACTCTAAGTGCTCCTTCGGTTGAGACGGATGTGGGCAGGGTGGGTACCGAGACCTGAAGGATCATCAAGCAAGTCCTCCTTGGGATGAGCAGGAAGAGACAGTTTGTAAAGGTGTTTTTTGTTTTATGGATTTCGCTCTTAAGGGGTTGTTTTTTATACTTTTTTTTTGGGCTGCAATCTACTCAAATCAGTGCTGCATGCTGTGGCCTCCACTTTGGAATGGTTTTCCTCTTTTTTTTTTGTAGCAAAATATCAAATATAATTTTGCCAGCCAAGGCCCACCTTCTGGAAATATCAGATCTCCGCCGCTTCTGGCCAAGGTCAGGTTGTGAATGCAATTAAATGCACAAATATTTTTCGCTTATTAGAAAAGCATTCAAATGGCTATTCGGCAAACGAAAACAAAACGAAAAAACTAACTAAACAATTACTATTTTTATTGTACACGAATTTTGTTTCTTTAATTTACAATCATGCACAAATGCAACAGCCACTCGGTAAAAATAAAACGCAACACAAAAAATTACAACGAAAATTTTCGCATTAATTGAGAGACCTTGAAACCAGTCACGACTCAAAATTCTGGCAGAGAGAGAGAGAGAGAGAGAGACCAGGGGGCCAGGCCCAGAGGTGTTCCGCTCTCCGTCTCCTACGTCTCCCAAGCCGAAAAAAAGAACGAAAATAATAATAATAATACTACAAAAAAAAAAAAATACAAATATTTTTGTCTACAATGACATGCAATTGAGTCGCTGCAGCGCTGGCCGAGACTCGAGTCGAGTCGAATTGCAGTCTGAGGTGTCACTCGGCTGTTCCTCCGTTCCCCTAAAGCGACCAGCCAGCGAGGAGCCCCCATACCCATGCAGACCCCTCAATCTTCAGAGACTATAAGAACTCAGGTTGGTTATTAAACCATCTGTCGATCATGCTCTTTGTCAATGCTATGGGTCGGATATGGCTCAAAGACACTCAATTATTCAGTTCCTCCTTCAACGTTCCAGTGCCTCAATTCTATACCTTTCAGATCATAAATTTTATACCTTATATATCCCAATCCTCCCGTAAGTCAGTCTAGGCTTAAGGTTCTAACTCTGCCTCCAATATTCTAGACTTTTGTGGACTTCCTCCTCGACTTCCTCAGTCCATACCTCAGTCAATCTCTCAATCTGTTCTTTCCCCAAGCAAGTCGTTCGAATTATTATAATTTCGGTTCGCTCTCTCGCACTCTCGCAAAAAAAAAAAAAAAATAAACAAAAACTGCACCGAAATCGAAAGCAACAACAAAAGTGCATGTGCAACGGTAGCCCGTTGCATCGCCCCCGTCCGGTGGGGCCTGGTCTCTGGGTCTCTGGTGTGGGTCTCTCCCTGGCCCTGGTCCGGCTCGGATCGGCTCGGTCGGTTCGGGGCCCGGGCCTGCCCGGCCCGCCGCCAGTTGCATTTCGAGCGGTGAGTGCGAGTGAGCGTCTCCAGTGCTGGAACAAAGCGCTGTCGTCTCGGTTTCGGTTGCGGACTTGTTTGCGTCGAAATTCACAAAAAACAACAACAACAACAACAAAAAAAACCCGCAAAAAGTTGTACAAATTCGAGAACAAAACTGCACTCTACGAAAAAGAATATGTAATAAAATAGTGCGAGAGCCGAGTGATTCTTAAAAGAGAGGAACGCAGTCGGCTGAGAGCAAGAGCAGAGATAAGCTTGCTGCAGTTCTTCGCTCTCCCAGTGACTGTGTGTCTGTGTGTGTGTGTGTGTGCGTGAGCCATTAAAAAACTACACTGTTCTACTGGCCTTCCCCGCCGCGAAGAATCACTCAATCCGCTCGGCTCTCTCACTCAAGCCAGCCAGGAGGAGAGTCAGGCCAACGCTTCTTGTCCACCATTTTCTTTTTTTTTTTGTGCTTTGCGTTGCTTTGCTCTCTCTCTCTCACTTTTTTTCTATGTTAACCAATTTCGCTTTTAACGTTTTTTTGCCGGCTGCCATGAATGAAGCGCACCAATACCCATGCACGGGGACAGTCAGCCGGCTTGGGCTGAATCTCATTCGCTCTCATTCTCTTAGCCACTCACTCACTCAATGCATTTTTTGAGCAGTGCAAAAAAAAAGCCCTATCCTAGTGTGTGTGTGTGTGTGTGAGAGGGGCGCTGCTGCTGCACTCATTCTCATTCTGAAGTGCAGCAGCGTCGAGCGGCACCAAATGCTCTGCTGCTCTGCTGGTCTGCTGCTCCGCGCTCCTGCCTGGCACTGCACTCCGCGAGCAGCTCAGCTGGATGTCGTCGGGCAGGCAGTCAGTCCGCTTGCTTTATTGTCGCTCGTTTCGAACGGTTCGCTTCGGTACGCTCCACTCGCGTCTCGCTTCTGCCTTCGGTTCGTTGTTCTTGTGCTGCCTTGCTGTTTGCTGCTTGCCAGCTTGCTTGCTTGCTGTTGTTGTAAGCGGGCAGAGGGAGGCAGAGTGGCTGGCTGAGAGCAGTGCAGTGCAGTGCAGCCTGGAGCAGCGCAGTCGGCGTCAGCGTTTACTGAGATGTTTTCTAGCTTTTCTTACTGTTGTTCTTGTTCTTCTTACTGTTGTTTTTGTTGTTGCGCTGCTCTTCTTCTTCTTCCGCACACACATTGCCACAGACACGCATGTAACGTGCACACAAACATGCATTCACTGTACATGTGCTTCCCCTTCCCTTTCCCCTTCCATAAAGAATACGAATAACAACAATTCGCATAGGAAGAATAAAGAGAAATAGCAAGAAGAGTGAAAACTATTTTTTAAACACTTTTTTGTTTATTTTATAGCGCTTAATTGTAGCAATAAACGTTAAAATAAATATTATAAAAAATAAAAAATTAAAGGTCAACCAACTTCTTAAATCTCTGCCTTAAATTTTGCTGAAAATATCAAACAAAAAGTGCTGTGAAACATAAAAAAACCAATTTTTACAACAAAAAACAAAACTAAATATAAAAAATAAGAAGAAAATATTAAAAAACTAAAAAAAAACAGAACTTAAGCTAAAAAATTAATTATAAAAACTAAAGAATAAAAAAAAATTCAAATATATAAACATTGGGGGGACTGCAGTAAAAAAAGTAAGTACAGCCCAACAGTCATATTTATTTTTAATTTAATTTTTTATGATTAAAAATCAGAAAATCAATTTTCATGGGCTTGCACTTTGTGGGTCACTCATAAAAGGCAGGTCAGGAATATTCTAGGAGAAGTTTAATTTTATAGAATTTTTTTTTATTAATTTTATATTTTTTTTTCGCATAAAAAATGGCCATATTGCCCTCTGAGGGCCGTTCGGGTTAACCTAATATATTTTTTTATGGTTTTATGACAGTATATGGTCCATATGATCTATCTCTCTCTTTCCTCTCTCCAGATCTGCCGAAGCTTTAGTCATTTACAACCCACCCCTAGAAATTTTCTGGGTTAGGGCTGTACTTGTGATAAGAAATGGTGCTAGCTACTTGTATCTTGTAAGTAGCTGTTAGATAATGTACATCTGGCTGATGCTTTTGGACTTTAACACAGATAAAAGTCTGATTTAAGGTCTCTATTCACGTGCTCACAAACTGTTTTGGGATAGGTTCTGTTTGCTTCCAATGAATCATCATGTTCATGGAGATGATTTCGTAGCAGTTTCTTATAATTCGAAATTATCTGGGGATGCTATATTTTGAGTTACTCATCAGCTGTATAAATTATCCCACTTTAGGGCGGAGAACCTACGCTTATTGTATGACTTTTTCAGATCTTTTGAGAGTAATCATTAGTTTTTCTAACCCAATCGAAAGTACCCCAAAAAGTGGTATCCCAAACCGAGGAAAAGCCACAAAAAATGCCTGCTGAAGCCCCACAAGTGCCACGTATGACTAGAGTCCGCCCCAATCATATTTGCCACATCGCTTCGCTTCGAATGGCAGCTTTTTTGTCCAGCTTTTGGAGGCGAAAAATTCCCGGAAATCTTTATAAGCAATTAATGCGTAAATATAATTTGAATGGAAAGTAAAAATCAGCAAAATGCAAGTGAATAACAATAAAAATGTCTAATTAATGCGCTTCTAATTTCCATTTGACAGACGGAAAACGTTTTTTCTGTGGCTTTTGTTTTGCTTTGTGCACAAAATGCATTTGATTTCGAATAATTCATTTGCGGCAGATTTATGGAGACAGCAATCCGGCGGGAAAAATAAGAAAATGAATCACACTCTGGGGCAGAGTGGCAGAGAGTGGGAGAGAGGAACTTGGGGGGGCAGACTGTCTAACACCCACGCATTGTCGTGCAATTTTCTTTTCATTTGTGTCGCACGCGTCGTCCTTGAGAGCTCTGCTTCCGCATTGGTGTTCCCAGCTTTAATTTGTGGCAGGCAGTACATCCTTGCGTCAGATGGATTGCAATTTAATTTCATGTTCTCAAATTGATTTGTGCAAAGAGCTCGAGAGAGATGCCAGGCAGCAGGCACTAGGCAGCCGGCTTCTGAGGCCCATTAGTCATGCTGTTGTTGCCCCATGCCAGGCCCCCCCGCCCCACCCCCCATCGGAGGTGGCATGAAAAGCTGGCAGGATTAGCATTAGAGAGACAGCATGCAGCATGCAACATACAATCATCTGGCTACCAGTCTGTGTCTCCCTGCCTCTCCCTCTCTCTCTCGCTGTCTGTGTGTGTGTGTGTGTGTTGCGCGCTTGTGGCACGTAAGAAACGAGTTATTGGAACAGGTTCATGACCTTGACCATCAACACAAGGCAGCGGCCGTTGCAACAGCGTCGCGTCTGTGTTGCATATACATATGCCGCCGCTCCGTCAGACAAAAGGAAGCGACTGTTGTTGCATTTGCCACATGCATTTGCATTTGCCATTGTTCGCTTGCGGATTGGCTTGGATTAGATGTTGCAACAGCAACAGCAACAGCAACAAGTTGCCACCACCGAGAAGTCGGGCAGTAGTCGCTGAGTCACACACACACTCAAGGGGCAGGGGGCAAGGGGCAAGGGTTGCACCCAGACTTGCTTTCCGACTGATTCATTCAGTGGCGAATTTGAAGCATGAAATTCCGCGAAGCCGACAATCACTGAATTCCAATCGATTTTCAGAGACTTCGATGAAAAATGATTCCGGAAATGGAATATATATTTATTTGTATATTTTACAAAAATTAAAACCCATTTTAGTTAATCCTTTGAGTGCTTAAAATATTCCAAAGCGAATTTCTGCCACCATGGAAAAAAACCGCTCCAACAAAAACTAAATAAACTGTTGCTCGGGAGGCTCTAGCCCTCCCCCCCACACCCCCCACCCCAACATTTTTTTCGTATTTTACTTCTTACCCACCGTTTTTTTTTCTCTCTCTCTCTCTCTCTTGCCTCTTCATTCTCTCTTTCGCCATTATATAGTTTGGTGGGTGGTGGGTGGTGGAGGGTGAGACGGCCCCTGGAAGTGCACTGGAAAGTGCCCCTCAAGTACATAAGCAAGTGCAACAGGCAGTTGTTGTTTTTTGAGCTTGGGATTGGGCGCTGCCACATAGAAGGCGTGTCTGCCACTGGGATTGTGTGGAGCCAAAGCGGAGGGGGGGCAAAAAAAAAATGGTTTTAATTTAACTTTGGCCATGTCACTGCAGCTAGACGTAGGAGAATATCCCCACCGATTTGCATAACACCCACAAATACCAAGAGGTGCAACAGGTGTGGCGGGGAGGGCTTCAAATGCGGATTTGTTGGGGCTAAGAATCAAGATTTAGTAAAGGCTAGCAGGAAAATTCCCGCACCACCCCCACGTTCTCCCCCGCCCTCTCCAAAAACAAAATCGATATTTTCCATATGCATCAACACAATTGAGCAAACAATTTTTAGGCGAGTGCTGTGCAGTGCTGTGCAATGCCAAAAGCTGCCATATTGTCCTTGAGCTTATCACCTTTTCCACAGCCAAACGAAACGAAATTCCACACACAAAAAACCACTCAAATACAGAGAAAAACCACAACAACACCAACAGCATTGGCAAATATCAATCCAACTGTTCTCACAAAAAACAAAACAACAACAACTACAAAAAATAATAGAAGACAACACAAAAAGCGCGACAAATATTTTCACAATTTATATTTATAATTGCATTTAAGTTTTTCGTTTTTTTTTGTATTTTTTGTTTGCCTTATTCTTTTATTACGTATTTTGTCGTTAAATTTATTTTTACGATTATTTGATCTGCCATTTGCTGAACGCAAACACGGGGCACGGGGGGCTTCTCTCAATATTTTTCGATGAAACTACAATATTCGGTGTTTTGCTGAGCTTTGAGCCGAAAATGTTCAGCTTTTTGTCACTAAGATGTGAAAAAATGTCTCTTACAGAAATATAAGTAAAAGCCGATGCCGACCAAGGGGCGCTGCCGCATGACGCGTGACGACGCAGCAGAGGATTTTCGAAGAATATTCTCTTTAAGAGTCTTTTTATTGGGGACTGGAATGAATGGTTGGACAAAATATTAAATGTTTTACAGAATCTTATTTTTTAGTAAAAAAAACAAAAATTTCAAAGAGGAGAAGAATTAATTTTTTTCGGTAATCCTATAAAAAGGTTCCTCATACGAACCCTACAAAAAAACTATGTTTTTATCCCTCAAGTCACATAATTTTTTAATAATTTGTAATGGATCAATTAATACAAAATTTTTTAATGAACAAAAATATTTTTTCTTGGCGTGCTATAAAAATTTAAAAATCTTTTAATTAAAAAAAAAAAACAAATAATTGATTCAGTAGTAATGATTTAAAAAATTAAGTTACTTTAGGGATCAAAGCTTTATTGTTTTTTTTTTAGAGTTCAAACGCAAATACTTTTTAAAGGATTAAAGAAAAAATGAATTATATTTTGTATTCCATTTTTTATTTATTCCAATGGATAACCTTTTCATATTTTTAATACAATTTTCTGAAAGTCCTAAAAATGTAAATTATTTTATGAAAGTTTTCCATCATTGCCTCTTTTTTGCCACACATTTACAAAATTTACGAATATTTTTCACACACGAACAAAAAGAGATAGAAATGCCTAAAAAAAACAAAGGGCGGGTGAGAGAGAGAGAGTGAGTGGGGAGGGGGGTGCAACACAGGGGTGCCACTTGTATTGACATTTGGTTTGGCGACAATTGATTTTTGTTACGTTCTTTTTTTTTCGTTTATTTTTTCTATTCTTTTTTGTTGTTGTTGCTGCCGCTTCATATTTTTTGTTGCTGTTTTTTTGTACATTTTTTTGTTGCTTCTTTTTTTTTGAGCAATTTAGTTCGTTTGCTTTCTGGCATCGTTGACGTCCGACGTTTCGCTGTTATTTAGACAACTGCTGGCAAAAAAAAACAGCGAAAAAAAAAGAATATTTTCCCCCCCCTGGCCCCTTTATCAGCGAGGCCACACGCGCGCTGCACTTTGCTGCATTGTTCATATGGTTTTTTTTTGTGTTCTGCTTTTTGTCAAAGGGTATTATGATTTTTATGGAGAGGAAGGAAGCATCGTGGGCATTATTTTTTAAAAATTGGTTGACAAGGAAAAAGTTTAGATCTTAATTTGTATTTTTTTTATGAATTTTTCATACATTTTTGTTGAATTTTTGATAGAAATTTAAGATTTCTAAATGCAATTAGGAAAATATTTTTCCACAGCATATTTCATTAATTTTTCCTACATTTTTGTTTAATTTTTTAAAATTTTTTGATGGAAATTCAACATTTTTGATTGGAAGAAAGAAAGACCTTGGAAAATAGTAAGTTTTTCCTGGAATAACACCTTTTACCAAGAAAATACTTTCGGAAAAGTATTAAAAATCGAAACGATATTCCACAAAACTCTTCGGATTCGAATGCCATACCATATACCGCCTCTTAGGCCTCCCCCTAGACATTTAGAGGCATTTCCCCGACCCCACAGGTGCCCCCAGGGTTCCTAAAGTAACGTATCTGCTCGCCAGAGTATCTCAAGCTTCGGTTTCGCATCTGTTCTTTCTTCTATTCTATCTGTTTCAATTGTTGCTGCTTCTTTGGAATTTTCATTTGTTTTTTCGTTGCTTTTTTTTTTGCTTTTGTTTTGGTTGATTT